TTTCTGCCCCTCCAAATTGCTGGAAAAAAAGATATATATATATATATATATATGAATATGAGACGCCCGGTGACTGAGTGGTAGCTCCTGTGGCACAGGTCCTGGGTTAGAACCTCGGGCCGGGCAAGGTTGACTCAGCCTTTCATCCCTTCAGTGGGTAGATAAATGAGTACCAAGCATGCTTGGGGAACTAAACACTGGGGGTTCCGCGTTCGGCCGACCTCCTAACCGGAACATCTCCTCAAGAAATTGAGCTGAGCACAGTAGGCCTTGGCCCTCTATAGGCTGTCACGCCACTGAGTTTAGTTTAGAGTTAAAAAGGTTTAAAGTTTTCATTGCTAAGGAAAATGTGGTTTGAAGTGGGTTTAAAGTTTTCATTGCTAAGGAAAATGCATAAGAAATGCTTTAGTTTGCTTAAACGAAGATTACCTTCAAGTTGAATTATGAGTTGTGACACTGTACATATTGTATAAACTTATTTGCCGTTTAATTATTATGAAAACCATGAATAAATAGTTGAAATGGCAAATTTTAATTTTAAACCCCTTTTGTTTCTTAAATATAATTTTTTAAATGAAATGCTTTTAAATGGGTGTAAGACAAAGGGATAAGCAAGGTTTGCAGCGCAGAAGTGACATACACTAATAAATCCGCAAGTTGATTTGCGTTGATCGGTCCTTGAGTTTGGCAGAAATAGACAGCCAGAAACATGTTGCAATAAAGTTTGAAAAGAAAACCGAATTATAAAGAAAAATAAGATAACTTAAAGAGTGAACAAGTCCTAAATTAATTCATTTTTTGGAACTAATTACCTTGATTTAAAACAAACACAAATGTTAAAAAAAAATGTTTTATATTTTAATTTTTATGTTAATGTAAAAATCACCTCCCTCCCCAAACTCCCTCCGCTGACAAAAAAACATCATAATTCGTTGCCTAAGGAGGAAGATTGTTGTCTTCTGATGTAAAAGATATATTTCCTGCTGCACTCAGCAAAGATTGTGTCCAGATTTTAAAGGAAATAACCAAGGTTGTTTTAAATACGAAGTTTATCTCTTTTTTCATTCTTTTTCCTTATTTCTGAAATATGCGATTCCCTTCACAAAAATTCCCTCTGGTAGTCTCTGCCTGATTGAAGGAAACATTGATCTGTAATTACTAATTTAAACTATGGATTTTGAGTTGCGAGAAATGATGTAGGATAAATTGTGATTATATCGAATAGCTTTAGGAAAAGAAGAAACACTGTACTATTAGGTACAGAGAATGAAATGAGTGAATAAATCGATGACAAATAAAGAGATATCACTCTGAATAATTTTTAATTTAATGATTAGATTTTAGCGAACTAAAAACCTATCTTCATAATTGAAAATGCTAGCCTCAAAATGTTAATTATTTGGTGCTAACTATGAACTTACGGAATCAAGCATATTAATAAAATTTATTTGAATAAACAGGCTTTTTTCGTTTGGATTTGGGTTTTTTAAAATAGAGGGGATCACCACACTATAGAAAATATAATCGAACTAATTTAGTCAGGAAAGCTGTCGCAAGTTTCACTTTATGTAATTTGGCTACCCCCGTAAAACTAATTGTGCAATTCAAAAAATCTTGCCCCTAAGAATGAAACTCTTTTACTCAAAGGTAGTTTAAGGGAAAAAATACTTTTTAATTAAATTTTTTTTTTTTTACTTTCCAATTTAATAGTAATTGAAAAGTTTTTCAATAGTAAGTCATAACAACTTTTTGCATTACTTTAACAACTTAAATTTACTTACATAAATTTCTAAAAGTATTAGTTTACCGAAAAGGTTTAAAAAAAAAGACGAGAAAATTCTTTAAAGAAATACGCAAAAAAATTAAATAAATAAATAAAATTACTTTGACAGATATTGCAAAAAAAATCTGATTATAATAAGAGTATACAGTATGCGGGCAAAGTTATTGGTAATTACTTTCATAAATAGCCATCCGAAACAGGCGTCATTTAGTCTGTTAGACAACCTAAGTAGTTTAAATTAATGCTCATTGTTGTCTGATTTTCCTTTCGATTTCAATGACTCAATATACATTAAGAGATCAACAATTGAATAAAATGATAATAACCGAGAACAATTTGTTTCGATGAAGACATCTAACTCGCATTTGCTGTACATGGAGAGAGAAACCACGAAAACCTCTCATGGTTAGCAGTACGGCAAAAGGACTCTAACGCATGATCCTTCTACCACTGAGAATATTTGTCGTCAGCACTGTAGTCGTTGCGAGCCGGGTGCGGAGTTCTTATCGACCAACCATCGCTGGAATTCGAACCCTTTTCACCTCATTTGGAGGCGAGAGCTCTATCCCCTGAGCTAGCCACGGTGCTAGGTTTGTCAACTTTTAAGAATGCAGAGCAGCTCATCATTAGTGTTTCAGTCTTCAAAGAGTTAGGTTTCAGCTTCTCAGTCTATCTTCAGTCTCAGCTTCTGTAACAGCTGAAGTCTCTCTCACAGGAAGTTGTGACAGAATAGAACAGAACAAAAAGGTTGTAATCTGGAGCGTATCTTACTGTTAAACTTCTCCAGTATCTGAGTCAATGTTCGTGAAGTTAACAGAAATTTGAATTTTGCCCACTTTGCCAACACAACAGCCACTTGTTCATTACAAAGAATTGAGTTTAAATCAGTGGAGCTTTTTTTCCTATGTCCTCTGTTCCAAGTTCAAACATTTTTTCTTTTTTAAGGCCAATCCGAAGAGCTAAAAACATGCACTGATGTTAACGCATACGCATAAATCTTTCTGCACTGCACATCTTTGCATATTTATTTAATAAAGTCCAAAACAATTGCCCAAATTTTTTATATTTGTCTTTTAAAAGCTCACAACTCAATGAAAAATGTGGTATTCTGATTTGAAACACAGCATTTAATAAAAAAAAAACTTTCCTCGCCAGCCCTAACTATTCGATCGCCAATGGCGAGCTGGTGAATGGCAGTTTTGCGCTCTGTCTCAGAGTCTAACAATGTTGTAGATGAAAGTAGAAAGAATCATAATGTATGCAGCATTTCTCCAGTTTTTTCCCCTCTGAAATCCTAGTTGTAACATCTTTATCAAGGATGAGTGAGTTTCAAAATGAAAGCTGTCTAAAAATTGAATTAAGAGAATAATAACCGTTTTAAGAAGTTGCGTACTCAATTATGTATTTCGTAGAGAAATCTTGCTCCATTGAATTTAAATATCAAGTTTTAGACATTTTTTATGGCTAACCATGGCTTACTCGTTTATAATTAACTAGCTCAGTACCCGTTCTTAATACATGATATAAAAATTGATATTGATCATCACAACGAAATCAGAAATCACTCCCAAGACTGATACAAGACACAAATAATTCGAATTTAATTTATTTTATTTATTATCTGTTGCCTTTCCTGGTAGATTTGCTTTTTTTAGATTA